AGTGGTGGAACCTGTGGGAGGATCGAAATGCTGCCAGGCATGGCAAAGACAGGGAAGACCAATGGAAGAAGAAGCACGAACAGCTTCAGCGGGAGGTGGAACTGATCTACGAGAAAGCGGACCTGATCCCAGCGGAGCTGGTGGATTTTATTTTCAAGCGACCGCTTGACGAGCAAATGGCAAAGGGCCCAGGCGACATCAAAGCGTGGCTTGCCAATTGGCTGCCCGTCGTCGACAAGGCACTCAGGGACGAGCATGCACGCACCGAGCAGAACACTGACACGGGGTGACTATGCACAAAGGGGGTCTTACCGTAGAAATAGATGGAAATCCAGCCAAGGGTAGTTAGTTAGCTGCAAAGCACCCTCCGGAGTTTTTAAACTTCTCCGGTGGGGGGCTTGCACTAGGCCGGTTCCTATGCGTCCTTGTACGTCTGAGGTACTCCGGTTCAATATGGCTCCGTTCAGCGGGTGGTCTATTGAGGTGCAGCCTAAATAATAAAACTTCGTTATTTTTTTTTGAGATGACTTCGGTAGACAAAGTGTGGGGTTCCTCAATGACACTTTTTGGCTTGATTGGACAGAACTAGGAACGGCAGCTGGTGTCGGCTTCTCGTCAGGACTGACTGTCCACGCAGAGAACTTCAGCATCGGCCGGAATAGGACGTCTTGGATGTCTCTTTGCACCAACTTTTGGTCTCTGTGGGACGTTCTGTTCCTTCTGGAAACAACCCAAACCACAAAGTTCATCCTCGCTTTTGATTCCGGCTTCCGACTTGACGGTAACCTGTTTCGAAGACACCACCGGGAACGTTCGAAGATCAGTCTTCTTGATTGGTGGGCTTTTGCACGGTGTCGAACCAGGAGATGCATCGGCTGTGGTCACTACCGTCTTCCTCTTTGCCAACTGCAACGACATTGGGTGCGGTCCATTCTGGGTTTTACGCGAAAGAGATGGTGACGGTGCCCTGGATGGTAAGAAAATAGGGGACAACAATCGGTGAAATGAAGAGTCAGAGCTTACAACACTGAGGAATTTTTGCTCAGTCTCTCACACGCTTATTAATGAAGCATTTATTTAAGCCTTTTCTACCAAAGCTACACAGACTTGCGTAAGTTAGACATGCACGCAGGAGTAAAATGTCGCAATGGCAAACCACAATACTACTGTTTTACTTTACGTTTGTACCATGGATTGTAAACATGTTACATTATTCCTTCCTTTTTATTACGCCTCCAGAGAGTGGGCATGTGTCACCAATTATTGAAAAGTACTCTATTACTATACGATTGCAGTCAATGCATGTTTCGAAATTGTGGCTTATATCTGTGAGGGCGCCCTTACTATCGCCTGTGCAGGAAAGTTAATGTCCTATTCTTAAAAGATATAAGCTCAAAAACTTGAATCCTGCATAAGCACGCCTTTGCACCCCTTAGAACAGTTTATTATTACTGTACCAATCTACAAAGATGTGCAGTCACGCTTTAGTACTCTTTTGCTATACGTATGTAGTGCCATGCAGGATTCGTATTCCGTTTGGCGATTCGATGCATGTTTCAAAGTGCTGTGCAGGAAACGATTTTTACTGGTTAACAGTAGATATAAGGTCAATAGTTCCAATCCTGCATAGCAACGATTTTGCACCCATAGAATCTTTTACTATATATTATACTGTACATATCTACCTGGAAGTGCAGTTGCGAAATCTCATAGGGTGTCACTAGGCAGGCTAGGAGATAAGTAATGCGAGTCTTGCATATCAACGATTTTACAACCTTTAAAGTAGTATCATTTACTATAAAACGTACTGTACGAATTCATGATGCGAAAAGGAATTTGATACAGTTTATGCAAACCACCATACTATTCTATAGTAGAATAGTAAGATTGTGCTTTGTCAACACGAAATGGTGCTCTATCTTGCTAGCTAGCAAGCTAGCTTTATTACGTTTTTTATGCAGGTTTCCACCGCTTTATCTCTAACCCTTGCTTTTCAATAAAATAACTTTATTTTAATTACAACAAAGTGCACGCTCATCAGTGGCTCCCCCTAGGGTTGTTAGATGGGAACGCATCGTGTCTATTGGGGAGAAAGGCCTCTTCGGCAATGAACGACTGCATCATTTTAATATCATGACCAGAGCATTCAAAAGATGCCTCAAAATCTTCGAGATCATCCAGAGTGTCCACATGTGGGTCTCCAACAGGCACAACTGCCGATGTAGAGTGCCTAGGGCAGAGGCCAAATATTATGATCAGGAGAGGAGCGAATGTAATGGAGGCAAAACAAATAAAACAGACTAAAAAGAGCGGTGTGATTTATTTACTGGAGGGAAATGAGAGCAATGCCGTCGCCTCTTTGGAGGGAGAGAGCCAGTCGCGACATGGTACATAGATGTGCTAAGAGGGAGTAGAATAGAAGTAAAAATATAGACAGGATGAATGAATTGCCTACTTACCCGTGGAAGACTAGCTGCAACTAGGGAGGGATTGGTGCACCTGGTGGAGGCAGCGCCAGATCAACAGTCAGTACATAGACAAGATTTTTCTGGTGGCCTATGTGACTGCAGTTCTGAGGGCGGCGCCGGATCTTGAAGTCCCATTCGAATAGCATTCATTGGGATGGTGGCAGTACCTGCAGACGCTGTTTTTTCTTCCCTTAAAAATGCTCACATTTTGGGCAGAAACTAGAACAAAAAAGGATGCCGAGATGTCATCAGGCATGAGTTCGACGTGCTAAGGCATTCACAAAGTCCTTTCTTCAGCAGGTCCAACCTGACTGAAACACGACCAGCAACGACTCTGGTGTGGAATAGAGGGAAACCAAAAGAAGGGCAAAGAAATACAAGAAGAGTGAGAGACACAAGAGGAGAAAAGACAAGAAGCGAGATGTACACGAATCCATTGAAGGATTTCCAACATTACTAGAACTGGGCGACTTGGTGTCTGATGAAGAAAAGCTGTGAAGTTCTTCGGAGAAGAAGGAGTTATTGAGATCCCAACATGGTGCCAGCGATGCAACACAGCCATCAAACCAGAGTACTCACCGAGGTACCAGTCGCGCTGCCAAAAGTTGAACTGCACTTTCACTATACCCAACAAGTGTGAGAATTGTCCCTGCACGGAACTGAATAGGTTCAAGACCGGAAAGGGGGCACTGGAGCAGTGGAGTGCTCTGACATAGAGTGTGGTTGGCGGTGGTTCCCAGGACAGGCCCACTGCTGCAGCTTCTACCGTGGAAGCTTTCTTCAAGGAGTACATAAGAATGAAGTGCTGTACTTCCTGTACCTCTGGATTACAGGTGCAACCCACCGACAGATTGGAATCCAGCTTAGATGGTCCAACGAAACTGTCAGCGAATGGAACAAGCGAATGAGGCAGCTGGTTCAAGAGATGATTGTAGCCCAGCCACACAAGAACAATATGATTGGGGGACATGGCATGATTGTCAAGATCGATGAGAGCAAGTTCGTGAAAAGCAAATACAAAAGGAAACTGGGTCCTCGGAATGGTGGAAAGGACTCCACAACGAAGAATGGTGATGTTGGTGGTGCCCAACAGGACGAAAGCAACACTGGAGCACGCAATAAGAACCTTTGTTCACCCTGGTTCGACAATACACACGGACATGTGGTGGAAGGGTTACATAAGCCTGGAAAGGCTTGGTTACACCCACAAGACTTTGTGCCACAAGCACGAGTTCGTGGCAGCCGACTCAACACACACACCCAGACGATTGAAGGGAGCTGGACACTGCTGAAGAAGGCCATTCCTGTATAGAATATTTACTTTAGCCATTTTTGACAGTGTATTTAGGGAGTCCAGTGCTGTCACCGAATTTCTGAAGGGGAGTGGGATTCTAAACACCGAAAACAAGGAGACAACGATCCCGCCAGAAATCAGTGAATATAACATGCAGCCCAAAATACTTAGACATGCTTCTGTTCCGTGTTATTGTACTTACGTGACTGCCTGGCGAGACACCTTTCTGCGACGGAAAGGGGAATCAAAATGCGCTTTGGGAGCTGTGACTGGCTGGCGATGGTCGCTGAATCGCCAAGTCCTTCTACAAAACCATCAAACCAAAACATGCATTGTTGATCTGATTTCTGTCTAAACCTCATCATTTTTGTCCACCCGACAAAATACGATGACCACAAACCATGGGCTGACCATGCTGGAAGGGATAGCAACAGAGACGCATCCCGGTTACATTTATCCAGTGTTCACGACAGGGTACTGGGCCAAGCAATATTGGAGGCAGCTTTCGAAGAGTAAAATTTTCATTCACACATCCATTTTTGGCAGTGTTACACAGAGAACATGAAGATTATGGCGCGGGCATTTTGGCTGATCAAATTTACGCACTCCCCATCATCGAGACGCACAACAATTCTGATGCAAGGCAGTTTTTGGGATGGCAATTTGAAAAAGTACCAGTATGTCATACACATCCAATCTATCAATTTATCAAATGCAGCAAAAAGTGAGGATACTAAATAAAAAAATAACGAAGTTTTATTTTTAAGGCACCTCGTCAGACAATCCCGCTGAATGGTGCTGTGACGAACGCACATACCTCAGACGCACAGAGGCACCCACTTAGGAATGGGCCTAGTGTAAGCCCCCCACCGGAGAAATTGAACAAAACTCCGGAGGGTGCTGTACGACTAACTATCTAGGCTAGGCTAAATCGCCCGCTATTGCTACGGGAATCCCACATCGGTGCATAGTTACCCTGCTTGGGAAGGCTGCTCGCGTGCATGCTCGTCCCTCATTGCTTTGTCAACAACTGGAAGCCAAAAAAATAACGAGTTTTTATTTTTAAGGCCACACCTCATCAGACAATCCCGCTGAACGGTGCTGTGAACCCATTTACCTCAGGCGCACAAGGGCGCCCACTTAGGATGGGCCTAGTGTAAGCCCCCCCACCAGAGAAATTGAACAAAACTCCGGAGGGTGCTGTACGACTAACTATCTAGGCTAGGCTAAATCGCCCGCTATTGCTATGGGAATCCCACATCGTCGCATAGTTACCCTGATTGGGAAGGCTGCTCACGTGCATGCTCATCCCTCATTGCTTTGTCAACAACTGGAAGCCAATTGGCCAGCCATGCTTTGATATCCCCCGGCCCTTTGGCCATCTGTTCTTCCAGGGGTCGCTTGAAGATGGTATCAAGGAGATGCTCTGGGAGCATATCCGCTTTTTCATAGAGGAGCTCAACCTCTCTTTGGAGCTGTTCATGTTCTTGCGCCATTTCTGTTCCTGATCATGGCCGTGCCTGGCGGCATTGTGATCTTCCCAGAGATTCCACCACTACTGCTGGATCAGAACAGAAGCCAGATTGGTGACCCAAAGCTGCCCGGTTTTGGTGGTCTCCTTGGAGCCGACCCAATGCAAGTATGCATCCTGGTGCTTGGCCCATTGTTTGGCCATCCGTCCTCGCATGAGGTTGTCCCACCCGATCAAGTTCTGAGCGCCAACCAGGTCCCGGTACCGTTCTGGGTATGCCACGGATGTAGGAACCGGTCTTCAAAGTGATATTGAAGCCCATCAAGAACAATTTCCAAGAGGAAAGGGTCTGTGGAGTTCTTTCGCAGCTTGGTAAAGATCGCTCGCTGCTTTTGTCCCCTCCAAAGATCCACATCAACATGGGGGCACCTGTAGACATGTGTCTCAGTCTGATGATCACAACCGCAATGTGGGCAGCGATGATCATACTTGGGATCATCTCGATGTATCCGTTTCCCCACTGGCAGCAATTGAAAGAGAAACTTCACAATTGTGGGCTTGTGGATTTCATGACGGTGGACAGCACGACCATGAGCTGTCCAATCAACCAGTGCTGGTGTGTCTTCGTCCCAATCTGGATTAAGTTTGACAATATGGTTGAACAATGGCTGGTCGTTCCGCAAGTGCCGCAGCGTTCTGGGGAGTTTGTATGTGCATGTTCCTTTGGGAAGACGCAGCTGGGCCAGGTTGGCTGGGAATCGGAGCACCTTGGAATGATCCTTTTTCATGTGTCTCTTCATGTAGCTACCTGCCAGTTTGTCGGCTCTGCAGTTCAGTTGAGCCTTCAAAGGCAGTGTTTTGATTGCCCTGTGCTTGTCTTGGTGTGATTTGATGTGCTCCATCTTGGGCACGGTAACGGCAGCTCGAAACGAATCCTCGATCTGCTGTAAGACATCCCAATCAAAGTCCAAGGAATCATTGGGGTATCAGCCCTCGTAGTCCAGACAGCCAGCACACTTGTTGATAACGGATTCATTGTCGCACAGGTGCACATAATCTTTCATGCTGGTTCGGTCATAGAACTCCAGCAGTCTCCGCAGGAGGCAAGTAGGGGAAAGGATGCTGTTGGAGGAAATATACCTGACACCTCTTACTATTGACTCGTGTATTAATCATCTAGTCCGGTTCGCATGCATATTCAAGATGCAAGGAACCAAGGGAGTTTAGGTCTAAAGTGTTGCGGGGGTCCTTATATCCAATTCAATCACAAGAATTGCTATGCACCACCAGAAAATCCTCACTTTTGCTTTTCAGCTTAATCTAAAACCAAATTACTCCCCAATAAGCTGCAGTATTACTAGCAAACAACACTGAAAAGCAAAAGCCCATCTCGAGTTACTACTACCGATCTCGAGATTGATATCAAGGTAACAAAGTCAAAGTGTATTGACTATCAAGTCAAAGTGTATTGAGTTAACTACTGCTACAGAGCAGAGGTGCACAGAATCAGGCTCTAGCTACACTAAAAGAACATCGAAACAGCTCTAACAGGATTGAGGTGCGTGCGCGGGAATTCCCATCTTCAGGCATACAAGGTACGATACGATCGATCAACAGTTTCCGGCCGGAACTGGAGAGATCTACGTACTCCAGCTGATCAAGGAGAACAAGCTACACGGATTGTCCGCTGGAAGCAAGGAAATCCGGCTGTTATTCATCGAGTTGAAGAGGATTACGTCATCGTGTCATCGCGCGAGATTTCGATCCATCTCATCACAACGAGCAGAAGTCATCGAACGGGGATCAAGATAGATTCTGACACAGGCGTTGCAAGCAAGAGGTCCTATACATCAATCGATAGAGGACATCTAGCCGCATCTCTGAGTATCAGTGCAAGCTTCTAACTCCAAAAATGGAGTGAGATAGGTTGATTCGAGTGATACAGTGCTACTGTGAAGAAAAACACAAAAATCCCGGTAAACCACACGGAGTCCTAAAACTCCACAGTTTGACTGTTTCACACTGTAATACTCTCACAGTGAACCCATCCAAGCATACCAAGACCATCTGCAAGCTTTGCAGAGGCAACGAAAGGACCAACAGAGACAGTTCGCTACTATCCAAGGCTCCAAAGACGTCCTACGGACACATGCAAGAATCCACGTTTTACGTGAGCGGTCATCTAGACCGAGGCTATTTAGCCAGTACACCAAGTGTGCACAAAAAGAAGGCTATCCAGCCAACAAGCTTTTACAGGCAACTACAAGAGTAGTGCCCATCGTGAGATCCTTCCTGCAGGAGTATCCACACAAGAACAGTTCCACGAGAACAAGCTAGTTCCAAGGAACAAGCACAGCACAAGAGTGCATTACCACACCAACGGCAACCATGAGATTCCAAGGAAGAGGTGGTCGTGGTGGAGGAAGATACCCTTCAAGGGGGGGGGGTTAGGGGATTCAATTCCTCAGGAAGAAGCCATCAAGGAAGAGGCAACAGCTACAGGAACCAGAACAAGAGTCCCAAGCGCCAGTTCCTCTTCCATCCAAATGGACAGGCTGACACCAGGTATTATCCTTTTGATAACGAGATTTTATTTTAAAGGCTACACCTCGTCAGACGATCCGCTGAACGGTGCCGTGACGAACCCATATACCTCAGGCGCACAAGTGCGCCCACTTAGGATGGGCCTAGTGTAAGCCCCCCACCGGAGAAATTTAACAAAACTCCGGAGGGTGCTGTACGACTAACTAGCTACCCTTGGCTGGATTGCCATCTATTTCTACGGTAAGACCCCCTCAGGGCATAGTTACCAGGTATTATCCTTTTGAAGAGACCCTGACCAACATTGTACAGGACCTAAGGATCAAGCCTGAATGGAATGATGCGCCTTGGCTTCATTGGCCATTGAGACCATGACAAGTCAGGCACCAACCAAGCCGACCAAACCTACACTTCAGATATCACTTACTGATCCCAAAGCCCAAGAGTACGATGCTTTGGAACTCAGCGAGTACAAGGCCAAGTCATCCATCTATGACAAGTTGACTCGGGCATATGAGAACATTCTCAAGACTGGTGCAACCACCATCCAGGTGACATACTGTACCGACGCCATGAAGTCCAAGCTGAGGGGTCTAGGAGACTATGAGGATGCAGTCAAGCTCGATCCCATTGAGATGCTCAAGAGGATCCGGAATGGGTGATCAATAAATTCAATGGCATGAAGAAGTCCTTCATGCCGCAGTATCATCAGCATCGGATGCAACTGCTTCAAGGAGTGCCTACCACAGTGGTGACGGCACCAGCTCCAGCTCCAGCCGGAGACACTTAGACCAGGAGTGGATTCAGTGGAATCCCTCCACCTCCTACGAGCCAGTCAAACTTCCAGCAGTTTCCCATGTCAAGCCAAGCCTCTCAGGCCAGTGCGGCAGGGTCATTGCAGTTCCACTTCCAGCACCATCAAGTTGGAGGAGTCCCGCCCCTAATGGCAAGAGATGACTCCACAACCGACAGTGAGCCGGAAGAATACGTTGACTGGGGGCAATTC